CGATTTTCTCCATTGCTTTTTTGTTGGTAAGCCCTTGATATGGAAGCCAAGGACATGGAGACCTTCTTCTACCAATGGTACAGCTGGAGAGATGTTTGTGGAAAAATTAGTTTTGACATGACATGCAGGTGTTCGTGAATGCATGAGTGCGAATAAATGTGTATGAATACAGAATGGTTATTGTCTTATTCACTTGGGTATGTATCCGTCTTTTGCTTATTATTTTACTTGATGACTATATTTAAAATAGATACGCAAACGGTGTGTGGAAACAAAATGCCTTTATTGAAGGTAACGTAATTCAGATATTGAAAAATATTACCATCTTTAGCCAAAACTTTATTTGCGTGAAATCAGGCAACAAGGAAATAAGTCTTCTAGACGCGCTTGCAGATATCTGCTCTTGAAACCATCCACTGTTGTTGGACAAAATTTGAGAAAGTCTTTAGCACGTTACTTCCCTTTTGTGGCCTTGATTCCAGGCATGTTTGGCGTGTTGGCGCGGGCAAGTTTTTCCTTCGGTGTCCATTTTTTTAAGACAGTCACCGAGATCTTGATTTTATTTTTATCTTTTATACCCCCTCTGAATAAGATAAATGTAGGGTGACGAATATATGAAATGTATGATGAGTATATGAATGCATGGGTGTAGGGTCGAGTGACAGGATTTCTGTAATAAATACCCCTATAAGGTAGGGATGTATGGTTCAGTGACGGGGTTTTGTTATAAGTACCCTTATAAGGTAGATTCCTTAGTCTTGGCCTATAGTTGATTTACCCTCCCCAAAAGGTGGCTTCCTTAAGGGTATCATGAATAACACCAGAGGGAAAAGGCGCAAGGGCCTCCCTTAGGTGCAGCCTCTTTACGGACCGAGACATCTGTCTCAAAGTCGTGAAATATCTCGTCATGAGATTTTGGGTTAAGGTCATTACAAAGAGTCATGGGTGACCTTCCAAAGTCCTACTCTTCAAGAGGATATCTCTCGATAAGTATTCCTTTTTTGGAAGTTCGCCGACTCTAGGCGAAGTCGTCACATAAACTCGCAGGGATGATGTACCCTCTAAGCTAATAGACGAAACTTCTTTCTAAGGGTTATATTGAAAATATTTTTTTGAAATAAGAACCCTCCACATAGTAAATATATAATAATAAAGAAAAATAGACATGAAAATAAAAAATGCAATAAATAAATTAATGCAAATAAATGAATAAAAATAAAAACCCAAAAGAGACCTAAAACCTAGGGTTAAGGAGAATCCCCAGCAGAGTAGCCAGCTGTAGCAACCGATTTTTAAATCAAGAGTCGCCACTATTAGTTTTTATTCTAGGGAAGGGAATCTAACAGAAAACCCTAATTCGCGGATAGAGATTCTAGGTTTCGGACTCAATTAGACAAAAGGAAGGTGTTAGGCACCTTTCATCTACCTTGTTCACAAGGATATTAGCCCTAGGTTTAGGTTTGGGGTAAACAGTATTTTAAGTTTTAATTAGCAAGACTCGCCACGATTTTAGTTCGCGTGCCTACGTATCCTCGTATGAGGAATCAAAGTCCCAATTCGTAGTTCATATGAGTTGGTGTCTTTTAGAGGGTTTGTAAACATATTTTGAATCACTTCGCACTCGGTCGGGAGTAGTGATTGCGGAGATTTTGAATGAGTACGCAGTAAGCCAAAATCGGTTTGAAACCCTATTTGCAAAAAGACTGTTGGTTAGCTTAATTTGTTCGCGAAAATAGTTTGAGGTTTGTTTGTGTTTTTTAATTGTATTAGTTGCGAAAATCTTGATTAATGCATGATAAAAAAAGATTTAATGCAAATGGTATAGAAAATAATATATGCAATTTTTATACGAAAATGATTTATTTGATCATATAGTAACGCTTACGTATAATAAATAATAATTAATATTTAAAATATGGTAATAAAAATTAATAGTAATAATTATAATAATTAATAAAAAGGAGTAAATAATTAATAAAATATAATATAAATAAAATATAATAAAAAATATAATAGAAAAGAATAATAATAATTTTGAATAAACCTGGGGGGGTGCAATCCCAGTTATGAAGTAAAAACCAGGGGGTGCTGAAAGTGATATCGGTTAGGCCCAGAATTTCCAGGCAAGGGGGGTGCGCTTGGCTTGCAGTTTAGTAATTGACATGGAAGGGGGTGTGCATAGCGCTGAGCTTAGGCCCACCCCAGATATTGAAGAAGTCCGTGTGGTTGTGTGTGGCGCGGCGTATGGATCTTATGATGCAGACTTGGCCCATGGTTGTCTGATCGAGATCATGTGGATGATAAGTGATGGAGTATGATATTGTGATGCGCGCGCGGGTAGACAATCCAAATGAAATAAAGAAACTTTGTTTTACATCGTTTCATTTTAATAATTCCCAACAAACTTCCTCTCTCTCCCAACTATCCTTTCTCTCTTCCTTGTTTACATCAAACCCCTTTTATTTTCAAACCCCAAGCCCTAATATCTGTTCACGGCGGCGGCTCCATGTTCTCGGTGGCTCTCAGTCAAAACCTAACCCACAAAAAACCCCAAATCCACAAAATAGATGAAGGCCAAAGCTGAGTTATTACCCTCGGCGTTTCTGTTTTCTGAATCTAATCCCTTGTTCTTTTTTTCGTTTCACAGGTCTTGATGATGGTTGAAGATGGTGGTGATGGCAATAAGAGGTGGAAGATGACGATGTACGGCGATTGGAGGGTTATCAACGGTGTCCAGCGGCGGTAGTGAGGGGCTATGCGGTTAGGGTTTCAGTCAATGAAACTCTAACCGCCTAGTCTCCGGATAACCATTTTTCTTCCTCCTTGGTCGCGTCCTCCGCCTTGGTACAAATCTTCCGTCTTCTCTGCTTTATGTACAAAACCCCCGCGTCTGTTTCTGTTCATCCCCCCTTTATTTCTGTATACTCTATCCTTATTTATAGTTAGTATTTTTTAGGGTTTTCTATTACTGTTACAAAATTGTTTTGACTTAGGGATGTAGGGATTGTAATTGATTCATTGTTGATGATAATTAGATTATGCCAGATTTGATTTGGATTCCTACAGTACTTGTTTAAGGAGAACACGCATATTTTGGATATAATTGGTTTACTGGATTTGATTTCTGCTTTGTATAATTTTGTTGTAAAAGATATGATTTTTTTACCAAATCTAAACAGTATCTGTTACTGAAAATATGTGTGTTTTTTGGACATAATTGATACAGTACGTGTTTGTGTGATGTGAGCCAACGTTTTTTTGTTTACAGCCACAAAGAGCAATTGGGCCTATGTGTTTTTTTCTTGATCCATCAACCAATATTTTCTCTTTCAACTCACTATCCAGGTTAAACAAAATTTGATTACATAATTATAATGCTATTTAATAAAACAACAATAATGTTTAAAATAAAAGAATTTTTCTAAAACCAACCAAATGAGCCCAGATTGCATTCATTGTCTGGGCCCTCAAAGATGATTTATTATGGGCTAAAAATATACACCTTCCTCTCGATTCTTAAGCATTTTCAAAAAAACTATAACGACATAGGCCTACTGACACATGCTTAATGGGTTTGAATATCTTTTAAAGCAAACAAATTTTTGAACCCAAAGTTACTAGTAAATCGTTCTTGTTTTTCTTAAAAGAATATATTGTTTATTTATTTACTTAAAAACAATAAACAATTTTCTTTAACAAAAATGGGATTTGCCAGCAATTATTTCTCTTCATAATATGCATTTATCTTTAATAATAAGACTAAAGAGTCTTGCTAATGACACCCTTTTCAAAATCCTTTATCACATAATAAAAATGATTTAAAATCCTTACTCAAGATCAACTAATAATTTTGCTCTCAAATTCCAAGTGGACTAACTTAGCGACAATTTAACTTCCCATTTTTCTTCTTAATAACAAATGTTTGATAATTAAGAACTTAATAGTTGCTCGAATAATTGATTTTCGAATTGCATGGGTCGGTGACCAACATGCCTCGCGAACGGATTTATGAGTCTTTCTGTTTTAGAAAGCCCCACTCTCCTGAATTAAAATACACCCCCTATCCAGATAAATACGGGCCATCGGATACTGGTGTACCGTCTTAAGTTAAACATTTCTTCTATTTTAATCTTGAAAAATGAAATCATCGAAGTAGGACAAATTTGGGGTACAACAACATGCACTAGAGCAAAGTCGTGATCTCAATTTCTAAATTGAGTGACTCATCGATCAATAAGAAATAAAGGAATGCAATGAAATCCTATAGGGAGCATGCACTGAGAGCAAAGTCATGATCTCAATTTCTAAATTGAGTAACTCATCGATCAACAACCAAGAAAACAAACACAAGCACAACACATATAGCAAATGAAGTGTGGAATGCCTGCTACAGGTCTTTAAACACTGACTTCGAGCGCACGCTCTTTATTTCCGGTTTCCTACTTTACATGATTTATAGAAAGCGGTAAAATGCTGAAATGAAATAAACAAGAGAAAATACCAAACATATATCAATCCGTAGCAAAGTGTATCAAAACAAAGAAACCCGAAAAACTTCGAGTAAGCTTCACCAAGCAAAGAAAAAGAGTCTGAAGTCAAATGCTCGAGATAAGCATAGAAGCACCATCGATGTGAAAATAAATCACAATCGAAATCTCAAGCATATCCGCATATCGCACAATAACCCTACACAAGACTCAAATCTCAACAAGCAAAGGTGAATTACAAATCTCAAGTAATCGGGTAATCAAGATTTAATTCCTAAAACTAAATTAAAAAAATATACAAGTTTTTATTGATTTTATTATTTTTACCATGTAAAAAAAGGTTCAACAAAACTAGACAACTATCAAAAAGAAAATATTAAAAGGAAGAACTCAAGGGTGCAAGCTAAAATTCAGGAGTATAGTAGTAAATCAGTAGGGCCTATCAATTATGAGTCCACAAGCCATTTTTTTGTCACAAGTGACTCAGCCTCCAAAAAAAAGTGATGTGGGCCTATGGACCCGGTCCAACAATGCTCATTATCCATCAAATTAGGGCATCAATTTGGGATGTTCAACTTGTACACACAAAATCCTTCTTCTTCCAATAACATTGACAAGCCGCAAACGACGGCCTCCTCCCAAATGTCACTGTCTCTGATACCCCTCTCATCTTCTCCGATCAATTCTCCGCCGCCGTGGATAACACATTGACGTCGCTGGGAATACCTCCGCCAAACCTCTTTTGTTCAGCCCTCTTCTTCGTCCGATTCGACCTTCCTCAACTCCAAATTCACTTGCAATTTCGTATCAACACCTTCACTTGCCTCCAATTTCATTTTGGTTTCAATTTGTGCTTCTCATCCTTAGTGTTTCATCCACTGCTTCTATTATCGCTCATCATTGTTAAGTTCTCGCTCGTCTTCAGATTCGCGATGTTTCACTATGGTGTAAGGAAAGGCGAATGAAGATAGTGAAGTAAAGAGAAGATATAAGCACCTACCTATCGGAGAACTCTGGTGGCTCTTCAACGGCTCAGGTATGCAATTTTGTTCCTTGCTTCAAATAGTATTTTCTTGCTCGTCCTTTTTCTACTTCTTCTTTTTGATTTTTGTGTGCCTCTGAGCTGTTATTCATGTCGCGTTTGTGAGGGTGACAGAGGGAGATGCGGATTTGGTTATTCTCGAATGATTGAAGGGTTGAAGCCATTGGAGATGAAGGTTGAAACATTAAGAGAATCAGAGAGAATGAAGATGGAACATACTGGTTGGAGAATATGCAGAAGATGATGAAGGATCTTGTTGAAGAATCTTGCAGATTCAAGGTAGATGATGAATGTTTCTACAGAAGATGATGAGAATTCGATGAAGATTGATGCTGCTTGAAGCAGGGGTTTTAAAGAGATGAAGATTGCAACGTTGATGTGAAGATGATGAGAAGTTGCTCTGATATGCGAAATCGAAATGCAGAGAGCTTGT